GGATTATATATAGTAGGATATGGCTGAAGTATTGCATCTTGATGATCTGATGAAGTTGCCGAAAGCGTCTATTAAGAATCCGACACTACAGCCTCAGAGAGAGCAGCATTTTGTAGCAAGAAGACCGTCTAAGTACTCATATGGTTCCATCCGATTGGTATGGTGCCTTAGGCGTCGAATTCGAGCAAACGATTTCACATAACTCATGCACACAACAAAATTCATTAAATGTTTTCAGTTTCGACAACAACCGCATAGGTTGACATCGGGAGCAACATTCAAATTGCGTTTATAAGGAAGAATCTGCTTGGCCTAGTAGGGTCTCAGATTGCTTTTATCGGAAAGATGGCTGGCGTCGGCTGTGAAGACGAGTCGAATTTTGTCTTCAGACTCGATGAACTTCGTGACTGTGGCCTGTCCAACATATGTGAAGTTGAATCCACAGATTTCGTGAATAGCAGCGATTGGAGCTGCGTGGCTGACGATCAGTAAATCACCTAAATTACTAGAGTTGTCAACTCGTTTTATTTCTTTTTTCGGCTGTTGACAAGGCTGTATCATATCAATCGTATCAGACGTTTTTCAACAGTTGTTCGGACTTACCCATCCAAACTGGTGAAGAACGGACTGGGCAGCGCGTCCAACGCAGCCGCGCGAATGCCCCATCATCAGCAGCGAACCACAGTGTGAATGAGCAATCAGAGTGGAACAATTCCTCAGGCGCTCCTCAGATGATAGGCATGCTTTGTACATCAGCACGCCTTACACCTGATGCCTTAGACCCTTTTTCGCCATTCTCGCCGCGACTGGTAAGTAACAAGGGCACGTAATCAGTTGGGGATTTCGGTTCAGGCTGTACGATCCCCCCCCCTTCTTTTTAGGGTTTTCCTCAACTTCCTACCAATTTTTTGGAACTTCTCGAAAATTCCACTTTTACCTCAAAAATTTTGCTGTCGAGCGAGGAGGGGGGAGTGGTATAAAGTGCATATGAAACTGGAAAATCCACGAAAAGGGACAACAACCTCTTTCAGGTCAGGAGGGATGTACGTTCTTCCCTCCAAACAACGAACAAAAATGACCCTTCTCCCCTTTACATCGTTCCTGGAACAAGAGAAATCAACTATCGAAAAAATTTTCAGCCCAAATACGACTACCCTCTGCCAGCGATCAGACAAGACGCCCTCCACTGTTGGGAAATCCCTAACAACGATGCGCCCTGGAAGTAACGCTGCACACAAGATGAACGTAAATATACTTCAGAAGGGTTTTGTTTGAATTCGATGAGTTTGCAGACGACGGCCCGCCTTATTGCAGTGTATAAAATCGAGCATCTCTGCAATCTAGTGGCAGATTACTATGCTTGTGGTCCTTCCGAGATCACGGACGAAAGGAATGATGTGTGTTTTGTAGTGTTTTTCAAACTCGTCGTCTATTTCGCTCATTAGATGGTAGTCTCTTACCGTCATAATCCGATGTAATAGACCTCAGTGTTCTTCGAAGACGTCGCAAACACGAACGGTTACCCCGGTTCTCTTCAGGGAGCGTTTCCTGAACAGGTCATGTATGCATTGTCGGAAATAGAGTGCTTCTGAACAACAAAGGAAGGACGGAGGCAGACAGTAGTTGACACTGGCCTGTTTGTGAACTAGGTCACAGCACGAGGACTGATGTGTCTAAGGGCATGTACGACAGCTACCCACGGTAGCTTGAATGGACAGAATGCACTGACTCAACTTTACCGTGGTTCTGACACTCTAGTCGCTATTATCTTCAGCTCATGATCGCCTGCCCTCAGAACAGCAACTGTCGATAGAGCTAGAGGAACTTATTCCCTCACCTTCGCGTACACGGGCTCATAGTCTTGGTCAACCAAGGGATATTTTTTCTTCAGTCGACTAGTGCTTTGGAAGCCAGGTGGATTTTCGCAATTACACAACACCTCACAGAGTCCTGGTTCTGGCTGTAAAAACATTCAGTGAAATTTTCTCTGGTGCCTTTCAATCGATGAACCATACCTTGACTAAAGTGTCCTTGTTGGCAACAATAATAGAAGCGGTTTCTATGGTGCTATCAAATGGCGAGGCAAATACATGATCCAGCTTTATATCTTGAAACCTGGAAACGGTATCCTGAGCCCGTCGAAAAAAGTTACCCCCTTATGGGCGCAGGGGCGGTACAAAAAGGAGATAGTGCGAAATAGAAGCAAGTACTGAAGTGGCGGAAGTTGTGTCATTATTCCTACACTTTCTTATAAAGCTGGTGAACGATGAATGGCAATGATATTCTATCTTGTCTATTCAGTATTACATACACTATCGCAGCACGGAAAGTGGCGACATATGCCTCTGGGGGATGGCCCACCATCATTGGTGGGTCCGTCAAACAGAGCGAAAGTGTGAACATTGCTCCAGAGAACGGCAGTTAGGTCACGTATTCATGTCGCAGATATCCTGTCAACGGTCAGTTTCGTAGGGCCCATCATCCGGTGCGTGCAGTAATGCGCGACCTTCGCGTATGGCCCTGGCCATGTGCGAGGAAAGGGTTGGCAGCTGTTCAAGAGAGGCGCCTTCGGAACCTGAGAGGACGTCGAAATGAGGTTGAAGGATAGGGGTTTTGGGGCTCGTTCTGGACTCTGCCACCAGTTCCTCACAGTTCAGCACATGGGTGGGGATCAAGATCCCGCCACGATGCTCACGCAAAGCGGTGGAGGACAAGCAGAAATGAGAGGGAGCAGAGAAATAGCCCGTTCGGTTATGGTTAAGCGTGTGGCCTCGTCGAAAAATCTGCTCCAACGTAACGCGTGCACGGAACAGCAGGAGATCTTGCTCGGGCAGCCAGTACCAAGTCCCCTTGCAGAGGATGGGGCCATACTGATTTCTCCAAATTCCAAAGCACATTGATGTGCTTGCTCTAGGGGGGTCAGTCTGCATATTTATGTTAACGTTGTAGTAGCCTGCAATTTTCGAGAAGGAGGAAACTTCGGGTTGGGTGAAAAGATGACACTTACTACGTGTCACATGTGAGAAATAAGGATGTGCGAACTGGCTCACTCAGTTCAGAGTTTTCTTCCCTGCCGGCTAGTGGATTAAATGGTGCTATGCGTCGACGCGAAATTGCAGATTGGAAGCTACCGAACAGGCCACAGTGGTTAGGGAAAGCACAAATGGTGTCGTATTTGACTGCTAGGCAGGGAGTAGTCATAAGGCAGTGGGCAACCAGCATCAAAGAATGACCAAAGGGAAGGGGGTAGTAAAGCTGGGCTTTTCTGAAGCCTAGAAACACATCAGCTTGTACACGCAAGCATTATGTAGAAGTTGCACTTTTCCTTCGCCTCTGTGTCAAATGCATGACGCAGTGCAGGGATCAGTAGATGCCGAGGTGATTGTTTCCTTTTGACTTGAAGATGTATTCTTGAAGCATACCTAACTCCTGGAAAAGCTACAGTGCAAAAGCAGTGGGTATCCCCAGGAGCTTAAAATTTCCCACAACAATTGACAACGGTGAAGTCTGGTGGGCTTACAATTAACGTCCCTCATGAGACGATAGGTCTTCTAGATCCCAACGCTACCTTCGGCTTCGCAAAGGGTAGCCTTTGGAAAAGGTTGTGGTTGTTCAAAGAGTTGAAACTCGAATGTGACACCAAACTTCTACAACAATCTCTCTCTCATTAACTGTACGCCTAGAGGTTAGTGAACAGTCCCTCCTTTATTTATACAGCCGCACCGGCAAACGGCGCTGCTTGTCGACGGGGGGGGGGCATTTTGTATTATCATTGCTTCCCTAGTTCCGGTTTACAAATCTCAACTTGTGAACTCTTGTGAAGCTGAAGTAAGATCGTCTAGCCACTATCCTAAAACGTGTCAACTCGAGAAACGGCTGCCTAGATGGGTCGACACATCTATGGAAAGCAAAATGCCCCACGTCGACAAACTGCAGCCCGGCAGACTCACCTCCCCGCCCGTGGTATGTATCGATGCTGACGTTGATGCATTTGTTGTAGCTGGAGGTCGTTCATGTATTCTAATTTCAATATCTGATGACGGCGTCATCGGCGAAAGTTCACCAGTAAAGGTTTGATGCAAGAGTTTCCAAAGCACCTATACAACATACGCCAAATTGAGTTAATCTTAGCCCTGCATTTCTTTTTCTACCCCGAAGAAAGTTATGGTCGCGAGGTGCTCTGGCAGTTTTCTTTTACTTTGCAAGAATTCGCAATATATGTGAACGTGACGAAATTGTGTTTTTCTCTGCTTTCTTTTGTCCGGGTGGCACATTATGGTCATTGTGACTTCGCACATTCCAGCTTTTCACGTATGATAAGTGGCTCTCCCACCCTGGAGCCCTCTCTCCTGGAGGAAGCTCTTTTCCTGGCTTGCCCCAGTTTCTTGCACGTCTCGATGCTTCAGCAGGCGCTGTCCTCTATTTGCCTGCGTTTCTTGGTTTCGCAACAGGACCATGCACAAAAGTTCACGTAGCCGCGTGTTGCAATGCAATGCAAGTGCGCGCGAACCGAACCTGAGTCCAACTCTTGGAGATTCCTTCATGCCGGCATGGCGTAAAAATACCCGCAGGTCCACTGTAATCGTTTTCTACAGGGTGCTACCGTAACTCCGCAGTTGTTTTTTTGTGGATTTTTTTCGTCGCATCCATCTTGTTTTTAACATTTAAGCCAACAATTTTTGAAATTAGGCGCAATTTGTGATGAAATGGTACAACTGCAGAAAAATTCACGAGATTTTCACACTTCCTTATACTTGTCCTAATTGGTCACTCTGTAAGCCGCGCCGTTACAGGCGCGGCTTACAGAGTGAACAGTCAGACGTTGGAACAGTCAGACGCCAGGGTCACAGCCCTGGTTAAGCGTAAGTGAGCAACTGGCTAGTTCTACTTTTGGCAATCATACTTCTCTTGCTCCTTCTTCTTCTTTAACTCGAGCTTCTGTGAAGTCGTTATTGCCTATTTGCATGCTCTTATGCTGCGGCTGGTGCGAAGCCCTTCATGCCACCGCTCACCCCATTGTCGGGTACCAGCATCAGGTCCCCGATCCGTCCCCCCCTCCGGCCACAACAGTTTCTCACCCCTTATAAGCACTCGTTTCAGAACTCGTCGGACATCGCTCTGACCTGTTGGTCGTCTAACGAGAACAGCTTTCCTGTATTTCTTTTTGTCCCCTTTGCATCTTGGTCTCGGTTCCTCTTTTGCTCCTCGCACGCCTCAATGTTTACCATGATTGGAACGCTGATATAGCCGCGTTGAATGCCATTTTTCCATCTCATGCACTTAACCAATCTAGCATTACGCACCTCTCCTCGCTAACTCCATTCTTATAATCAATTTGCTGATACATTTTCCTTTTGTTTTACGGCTCCTCACCTTTTTCTACGAGCCTTTTGTTCTCGCCCCTTTCTTCGCAGTGCTGTCGTCGCTTTACCTACCCTGTATGTCGTGTACTTGTCGCTTCTTCCTTTACGTTGTGTCCTTTTCCCCACGCCTTACTTTCTTTCATTTCAGATAGCTTGGGCTAGCCCGACGAATTCGTTGCTTTCTGTTCTTATGGACGGCTCAACTCCACCTCCGGAGACGACCGCTCCACCGGATTCTTCATCCAGGTACCCTTCTCCCCACCGCGATGCGGCAGATAATGGGAACAGTTTGATTGTTGGTGTTTTTGCGATGAGCCCACTTGCAGGTGGGGATTCGCATGAGACTTTCACAGAGGCTGACCTCCTCGGTCCCTCTGAGGAGTCTATGGATATTGACGTTTCACCTTTTCTTCGCTTCAGATGTTCCAGCGACTACGGCCACCGCAGGACCTCGTGCACGGACTCCATCCCCCGCGGTATCTTCCGCGAGAGTTCGACCTCGCGCCGGCAGCGTTCCCATCACCGGGACCACTCGATCACCGCTGCCGTCACCCCCTCGGAAATTCGCCACCGTCCATCCTCTCCCGACGGCGGATGAAGCCTTGCCTCTGCAAACTCTGACCGTTTCTATGGAACAATTGTCAGTGGCGGGATCCCCCTGGGCTTGACTCTATCCCCCTACCACCCTACGATCCCCCACCTCCTCCGGAACCGCCGCAAGGGGCCCCCATCCCTTATGGACCTAGAGATTCTTCCCCCACCACCACCACCTCCGATGCTCCCTTCACGCGGAGCTCCTACTCGCGGTGGCACCTCCCGTGGGTCGCTTCGCACCCGGAGGTACTTCTCGCGGCCGGGGCTCGACCACGGCGCGGCCTGCCTCGTCGCGTCCGTCCTCATCGCACCAGACGCGTCCGTAATCCTCGCACCAGACGTCTCCGTCGCCATCTCAGGCGCGCCCGTCATCTTCACGCCAGGCGCGGACGTCCTCCTCCCAAAACCAGGCCTCTGACCCTTCTCCAGCTCGACGAGCCCGTTCTCCGAGATCAGTTGACCAGCGCCAAGACCGTGGCAAACGCCCGCGCCCTTTGTCCGCTCTCCCCCTTCCCCAGGTTAACACCAGCCAGCTTCCCCGCGACACACCCGACAATTATACTAATTATTTGTGTCGCCATCATCCCTGGGCGCGTTTCATCAATCCCCGCCCTGTGCACAAACTCAGGAACCCCCCGTTTATAGTGGTGAATAAGCTCAGCACAGAGCTTTACCGCCATTTGCCAGATTCAGGGTACTTGTCCATCAGGTTCAACAAATCCCAACCAAGTGGTTTCTACGGGCTGGGGTACCGGCGTCATCCTTGAAGCCAAGGATTTTTTTACAGTCGGCCCTGATCGACGCGATCTTCATTGTATCACCCTCGACCACTTCTCTATAGAGATTCTGGCAGGAGGTCGTGGTTTTAATAAAGCGCTGGTTTCCGTCAAAGACTTTGTCTGGGTTTATGACGTCAAACCAACGCGCTTCGCTCTAAGGTCCCCCCAGGATGCCTTGACGCGCTCGTCGGCTCCTCGCACCACCGCGTTGGACAACAACTCCTACTTCTTTTTCCGCGCCTCACACTTCGCTTTCGTGACCCCGTCCAATTGCGACTCTCCCATTTACGGTATCATCTTGTCCATCATCAACCGTAAAGGCGCACCCGCCGCAGCTCGAGCAGCCTTCGAGGGCTGCCCTGAAGCGGTGACGATCACCCCCAGTATCTGCACTTTCGAGATGCATGAGCTGGCTCTGTACGAGATCGTTTCGGCGCGATCTCGTGTTAATGTCTCCACAGCGATGCGCTTCTCAGAGCCGCCGGTCTCTCTGAAAGCTAGAGAGGAACTGGCTGGCATTGTCCGTCAGTTTCTTCCCATGCACCCAAGCGAGGGTATTTTGCCCCTGTCGGTGTCCAAGATTTCGGACTCGGACAAGGCATGGTTTGCAGACCGCCTGCACACCTTTGAGAATTTTCACCGCGACCCGCAAGGTTCCAAGCGCCGCCTAGCCAAGATCTGCAACGCTGCGTGTTCCGCCCTCGCTGCTGTTAACGCTGCTGAGGACGATCGCCGCACACACTGGGGTACAGCTACAGTGGCAACTCCTGTTTGGTACCCCCTCCGCCTACGATTCGTTCTTGCCAACATGACTGCCGAGGCGGGGTGGTCTGACGGGAGGCATGCTGTCCTTTGGATCACCGGCTCTGAGCGCCTCATTCGAGTGAAGGTCGTACAGGTGACAGCTCTCCCGCAGGAGAGAGCCATCGCTGTATTGCTCCAAGCTTTCAGGTGGTCTCACCGTTCCCTCACACAGGACATCGACAACCACGGACGCCAAAGTTGGCTCAGACACCGTCATCGACGTCTCCTTGCGTCTCGGTAAGAGCACAGCCGCCGCGGACCCGGTTTACGAGCTGGTCCGCACTCGTATATCCTCTCCAACGTCCACTCCGGCACTGTTGCACACCGGATCGTGGACATCATCTACGAGCGGCAACCCCTTGGCACCAGCGACCAGGAATACCTTCGCGCACTACCGCCGCCGTCTGACGCCGCACAAACGTTTTCCGTCAGCGGCCGCGTCCTCACTTTGACAGCGGACCAGAAGGACGCTGTCCGAGTAGCCACGGGTCGGCTCCCCATAGTAGCGATACAAGCTGCTTTTGGTACTGGCAAAAGTGGGCGCGCTGGTGGCTGCCCTCTCCTCCACCGACCCCTCGACCACGGTAATCGTTACCACCTCAACGAATGCCGCCGTGGCGCAGTTCGCGGAAACGCTCCTGTCCCTGGGCGGTTTCCCTCATCTACGAGTCGTCCGCCATATCTCCGACACGGCCGCCGCGAAAAACCTTACGACCACCCCCGTAGACCTTAATAAGGTGCTTCAAAACCCTCGCCACTACACACCGGCAGCACCTCACGCCTGACGATCTCGAAATCTGCTTGCAGTTCAGGGAGTATCGCCAACTGCTCGAGGACTACATGGAACATCCCGACCGCGTTCCGGAAATGACGGATGATGACAAAGCTGAATATGAAATCGCGGAGCAATTCGTCTCTCAAACCGTCAAAGCGATGGTCCGCATCTTGTTCAGTGTCAACCGTCCCTCTGTCCTTTGCTTGACCACCTCTTCGCTTCTCAATTCCACGGATTCCGGCGGCATTTTCAAAAATTATGTGCCCTCGTTTAAAGTCGTCATAGGCGACGAAGCCTCCCAGATCCCCGAGCCCGCACTACTCACCATAGCAGGCCGCCTCCAGGCGGCTAGACACGTCTATATCGGTGATGTGCACCAATTAGCTCCCACACGCAAAATGCCCTCCCTCCTCTAATCCCGTTCTCCATGGAGCCCGTAGCACCATGGATCTTCTAACGCGCGCCCCCGCTGTACCGGTCGCCCCACTGGTGACCACTTTCCGCGCCCACCCGGCTCTGATAGAGCTACCTAACCGCATAGCGTACGATGGTGCGCTCATTAGCGGCATTTCCGCGGCGTCACGACGCCTACTCCTTTCCGTGATGAACTTCCCTGCCAAAGATATCCCTTTTATGTTCATCGACCTCTACGGAGAGTCCACTCGGGCGCCCAGCGGATCACAGTCCAATGCCACGGAGGCTCGCATCGCTACCCACTTTATCACGCAGCTCATCCAAAAAGGTATTCCCCCATCTAGCATCTGCGTTATCACGTTCTACCGCGAGCAGTTCCGCCAAATGCGGGACCAGCTGACCGCCCTACATGTCGAGCTCACCACGGTGGACTCGGTCCAGGGACGTGAGAAAGATGTCGTTATCTTGCTCACGACCAAGACTGAGTTCGATCCGGAGTCTGCCGACTTCTTAGACGATTATCGTCGTCTCAATGTAGCTGTCTCCCGCTGTAGGCACGGCCAATTTATATTTGGCCATGCCGCTTCCCTGCGTCCCGTACCCTCGTGGACGCGAGTCTTGGATTGGGCTCAGTCCATCAATGCTATTGTCCGACCAGCGGATCTTAACCGCTACTTGCGCATCCAGCGCTAGGTCGACTCTGGCTAGCCCAACCCTTCTTCTTCCCTACTGGCTTCCGTCTGAAAGTCCGGGACGGACTTTAAGTAAAGGGGGGAGGTGTAAGCCGCGCCGTTACAGGCGCGGCGCTTGATGTTTTGCCATGACTCATCTTGTCTTTCCAGGGCGTGGCGATGCAACACACGAGAAGCTCGGGGAGTCGACCGCTTGCCGAGGCCGAGACTGCAGCTTGGACCTCTCACCATCTCTGAGGCGACGCCTCGTCCTACCGGGAACACCTGCTCCATCCTACAAGATCTCACTTACCTTTCAGTTGTATCTCATCGCTTGTTGTACCGTTATTTGTTGCCTTCGTTGTACTTATGGTTCAGTTATACGTGTCGTGTGCCTATTGGTTACTTGCCTTACCTTGTACCTTTATGTCATAAGGATAAAACCTTAGTAAATGACCGCTGTTAGGACAGAAGCAGGGTGAGCCACTTCCACGGCGCTCGCTCGCTTACTACTCCCCGGTTGTGTCCACGCAAAGAAACGTTGCAACATGGAATTAGCCGAGAAAGTGTACGGAATGAGAGAAGGCTGAAACTAGATGGTTACAAAATGGACTTCCTACATTACTCGAGCGAAGCGATGAAGAAAGAAATACTGGAGAAAGCTCGTCGGATGCGATGTCTGGTCGGTGCGGGTTGCTTGAATAATGTGTTCTTCAATGAAGAGAAAATCTCTACGACCGAGCGTTTTTACAACTGCCAAAATTATAGTCAACC